CATGAGATTTAATAGCAATAAGTAATTCAAAGAATATTGTAACAGTTTTTCTCAAATATGAGTTTATTACTCATATCTTTCTGAATTTAATGCTTCTTTTGATATGAAGCCTCGATTAAACATTACAAAAATATTCCTAAAATTTATCTGATGGCACTTTATTCCCCATCTTTTAAGAAGAAAATTATTCTTTTTCATCTGGCAACTTTGAACTGAAAATTCCTCTCTGTTTCCTCCATAAGTTAAGTTTGGTGTTTTAGTTAACACAAACCCTTCAAATCATTATCGATTTAAAAATAAAGGACTGGTGCCTTCCAACCCAAATTCGATCAGATTTATACCATTTTAACCAAGAATGTCAAATTTATTTACTTGTATAATTATCAGTTGCAACGAAAATTTGCTTTAATGGAAAATAAAATAAATGTCTGTGTGTCTTTTATGCTCTCTTTTAGAACCAAAAGAGAATTAAATATTGAAAAATAATTAATATTGTATTCCAAGTCAAGGACTGTTTGCGGTATCGAATAACAGTTGAGTCTTGGAATTCGAGTTGGATCACTTTTGTCTGTTTATCACGGCTTCATATTTCAAAACACAGGCCTCAAGGATAAACATTTGTTTGGTATAATTTTGTGCAAATTAAGGAACTCTCGAAATAAAAATATGAAGCATGCATGAGAAATATCTCAGACATTTTTGGAGACCAAAATGTAAGCAGATAACTACAATGAATTTGTTGAAGTCATAATCATTTACTCTTAATAATGAAATAACAATTGCAAGAAGCTTCTAGACTTACAACACTTCAACAGATTACGAAGCAGTAACAAATTTTGAATTCCTTAGTCTAAACATAGTTCCCTGTGACCTGATTCAAATTCTTCATTGAGAGTCTGCCAAATGATTGGTTTGGAGCCCATATTTTGATATGTTGAGTTTGGCACGAAGTTAAGCTGTTTTGGTAAATGTGCAAGTTTAGTAAGTCAGAGAAGCTATATGCTCTAATATTTATTTATTTTATGTTAGTAATTAATAATCACTATCTTTTCTACCTTATCTCATACCATAATACTACACAAACAGTGCGTTTTCTTGTCCAGGCAAGTATCGTTTAAAATTTAGATTAACACGTGACAACTCCCCAAGGTATTTGTTAATCATTTATCTTATTTCGCCACGTAACTTTATTTACTTTTCCTAGAAAAAAAACGCATTATTAGTTGCCTCTAATAACTAATTTCATGAAGAATTCTCTCACATACTTCAACTTTGTTAGGTAATATATATTTCGTGCCATAAATGTTAGTCCAGCAAGAATCTACCTTTTTTGATGTCGTCATATTTTTTAATATATATATATATATATATATATATGTTTTGTTAACATGAAGTATTACATCCCTTTAAATCAATTCTTAATTTAATTAAGAGAGCATTGATCAGATTCACGTATAGAAAGAGGAGGAAGGACCGATGTGATATTGCACGCATTTCAGAATAAGCATGTAGTGTGAGATTTATTTGTTAGTTACATTTCCAACTTATTCCACAATATACGTGAAGCTTCTATCTCCTTCCTAAAGCCAGTTTCTTTGGTTCAATTGATTTTTTATGAACGCCAATGAAGTCAAAACTCCACCATCTGGGTCACAGTTCATGTTGGTAGGGTTCTGTGCCCGGTTCATAATTCCCTCCAATAGTTTGTTTTTCTTTTTTAGTATTTCTCGAATTCATCCTCCCTATTTAGTGGTGAAAAATCATTTTCCACATACACTAGAATGTCAGTATTATTAACAGTTGGAGAAAAACTAATAGCATACTCAATACTCCATAACACTACAATAATAATGTACAATAAGAGCTTTCTAAAGATCGATGATAATAGCAAAAATCTAATTGTTAAACCTTTTTAATTTACTTCAAAAGGAATTCTCAACTTCACTGCAATCATTTCAGGTACTTTTAAAATTGTTACCAAGTCCTTGATAATTTTCCAAATCAATTGAGGATTTTAAATAAACAAAAATGGCCTTTTGGGATGAATATGAAATTGAAATGAGGTAGTAAGCAATCCAGTTGAGCTCCAACCCTGAATAAAGCTAAACTTTTTTTGGAATAATTATCCAGAAGTTAATGCCGTTTATTGCAATTAAATTAAAAAAACGTTTGATAAGATTTCTAATTGTTAGAAATATGTTGCAAATTATCAGAAATTAGTTGAAATTCACTACGTCTCGACTTTGTACTTTCATTTAAAAGCTAGTACATTTTTGTGCATGGTACTTTTTGATGCCTAAGCATCGATTACCTGTCCGTCATTGATTTTTTTCGCATAGCTACCTCCTTGCGAATAAATTATACATTCACCATTGCTATATAACCGGGTGTTAGGTTAAAAATGTTTCAAAATGACATAAACAGGTATAAAGATATTTCATTTTCATATCAACTTTATTGCTTCTGGAATACGTATTTTAAACCTTCCTGACTTATTAACCCAAACTTGAGATGGAGCATAATTTCTATTATCATCTTGAAATTATTAAGGTTGACATCAAAGTGGCATCGCCCTTTAGGTAGAGTGAGACTTCTTGTTAAATAAAGTCGAGAATTGTTTTAATAGGGATAAAATTAGAATAAACCAGTGGTGTTGATCGATGAAAATCAATAATAAAGAAGAATTGCCTTATTTTGTCCAAAATTTATTGCACTATATCACGGTTGAAATTTTCAAATTTTGCTACAATTTGCATGGAGAACTTTCTCTGGTCCTCAATAAATCATATATATTTACTGGTAATAGTGTGATTTTTCGTTCAGGATCAATTTTCCCTATAGATTGTATGATTGATAAACAAATGTCCAGTTAAATTCAATTTTTGAGAATTTTTTAGAATCTTACGCAATGGAAAAAATTGAGAAAATTTAATTATTTTAAAGCATTTTCTGCAAGAACAAATGGGTATCATGGGTAATTGCCTCTGTCGAAATCTAATTGAATTTTTTACCATTTGTCCCCTAAATTATTACTGGCAATAAATATAAATTTCACCACTCAACTTGTCATAAACAAAATTCACAAAGAACAATTCTTAATAAGGAATTGCTGCCCCAAGGCACAAAACAAATTTATTTATTTATTTATAACAAATGGCAGGCGTTTTGATAGTTATCATTAGCTCTTTAGCTGACTTCGGGCTTCGTAGACGATAGTTATCATTAGCCCTTTAGCTGACTTCGGGCTTCACTTAGTTATCATTAGCCCTTTAGCTGACTTCGGGCGTCCTATGATAGTTATCATTAGCCCTTTAGCTGACTTCGGGTTTCAAGGGGGGAAGGAACATCAAAGTAATAGAAAGTCGAGGGGTGGAAAGTCGAGGGGTGGTGAAAGAAGAGTGATTTACAGATGTAAAGAGACAGACACGAAGGCAGAGAAAAGGTAGGATGAGTATTGCGGAAGTGGTAGAATATGGCATACAGTTGGACCATTGTATTTTAAGCCAGAAGTCAATCGCCAGCTAATAGACTTTTTGCTGTACGAGTATACGCTGCCCAGGGTGCACCACGTGGAGGTAAGTCTATCACGCACCCCAATTAATTGAAGTAAAAATAGCCTAAAGCACCATATTTCGGCTATTTTGATGTTAGTTTATATTTATTGCGATTGCCGAATAGAAAACCCAATCTATTTTAAACAAGCCAACACTAAAACGTTGAGACCAGAAATAGATTGGAAGTGGGAAAAACAACAACATGATGAAAAATACCAACAAGTTTCTCAAATTCATTTTGTTTCTGTATAGTAATTTCAAAAGTTTGTGTGTGTAGATCGATAAAAGCTGTCCTTTTTGCAAAAGAAGCTGTATTAATAAAGCGGTGGACTTATTTTTTAATCATGGAATGACATTTCACATCCAAAGTCAATAGCTTCCCAATATTCAGACAGGCAACAATCGTTTTATGCATTCATTTTCACTATTGCAACTGGATTTAATACCGAACATCTGCTTAATTACTCCTGTCAACTGTTTTAGTGCCACGCTTTCTATTTATTCCCTTTTTAATTGTAGATTGGATTACAATGGAATTTAGCCCATACGTTATCTAACACTTAAAAGCCTGGCTGTTTCAGAAAAATAATACTCACTGGTGCCCTGATATATGTATATTTCCCTTTCACTCATATTTACTGATATTTATCACTTTATTGTGACTGTAAACATAGCCCAGTGAGCTACCTTGAAACACACTTTCTTAATTGGCTAGATTAATAACATTTCACCAAGAGATTCAAGGTCAGTACTAATTCAAATTCGATTTTAATATGTAGTTTTTTTCAAATCGCAGGCTTTATGACAGTCATCAATAGCCATTTAATTGACTTGTGGCTTCATGGAGGGGAGGAACATCAAAGTCACAACAGGTCGAGAGGAGGAAGAGGTAGGCGGTTGAAATAGAAGATTAATTCACTGATGTAAGAGACTAATACAATGGTAGTAAAAAAAAGGTAGGAGGAATAATGTGGAAGTGGTCGAATAAGGCATACAGTCGGGTCACAGAAGTTTAAATTCAACTTCCGCTTTATAGACATTTTTTGCCGTATATGTATGCATTGCCTAGGGTGTACCATGTGGAGGTAAGTCTATTGCGCTCTTCTCGATTTTAATATGAAAAAATGGAAAGGCAGTTTGTAAGGCCGCCAGTTATAATGTCTTCTTAGGCAATGTTATTATTTTAAGAAAATGTTAAATATTTCAATTGAATACGCTGATATGTAATTATAATTTATTAATTTTAATTGTTGATTCGCTTTAGATACGAGTTATGATATTATAAAATATTTTACAAACAAAAAAAAAACTAGCAAAAATCTCACTTACCTCAAACAAAATGGTTTTGATTAAATAATAACTTCCGTTAAATAGAGACATAGTCATAAACTAAAATATTGTAAATCTATGGTTTATCTTTTTCTGCTCTGAAATTTTCATGAAATTATGTCTTTTAGACAATATAGTGTGCGAGCTTACAGCAACCTACCGGGAGCCTCAGGGATTGGTGGAACAGGTCTGCCAAGTGGAAGTTACCACGCCAATGCTACTACATCTGCAGCCTCCTATGCCACATTTGGCTCCGCACCAACCACAACAATAGCCTCCACCGCAACCTCAAAAACCACAGAAACAATCAGCACTTCTACATCTGCCAATAGCGGCCAACCACCAACTGCCTCTACCTGTGATACACTCATCTCAGCTGTTGGTTCGACGGTCGCTGCATTGACTAGCGGGCAGTTCAGTCTGACTCAACGCAACCCCCTTATTCGAGCCAGCTCAATTGGCCGCAATCGCTCAGAGTCTCGTGATAGCCAGTCTGATGATCAGATGGATATTGGAAAGCAACCCGAAAAGAGGGGTTCTATTATTGAAAATATTGATTGGGATGTGGAAGGAGGTGGATATTCGGAGATGAGTGAAGACCTTCAACCTAAATCCCGATTTACCACAAATTTTAATGATAGGAGGCATTCAGATGAAGAAAGAGTTGTTCTTAATGTTTCTGGGTTAAAATTTGAGACACAACTAAAAACGCTTAACAGGTTCCCTAACACTCTTCTTGGTAATCCACGAAAACGCAACCGATATTATGATCCACTAAGAAATGAATACTTCTTTGATCGAAACAGACCAAGTTTCGATGCCATCTTATACTATTATCAATCTGGTGGAAGGCTTCGAAGGCCTGTAAATGTCCCGATTGACGTTTTCACAGAAGAAATCAGCTTTTATGAGCTTGATGATGAAGCCGTACAAAAATACCGAGTTGATGAGGGTTTTCTCAAGGAAGATGTCAAATTTCTACCAGAAAATGAATTCCAGCGGAAAGTGTGGTTGCTATTTGAATATCCGGAGAGCTCCTTTGCTGCACGATGTGTCGCCATTTGTTCCATCTTTGTAATTATCCTCTCAATTGTCATATTTTGCATTGAAACATTACCTCACTTCAAACACTATCGAATCACAAATGGGACTTCCAGATCATCGGTATTGGATGTTGGGGAAGACATGGTTGATAGTACTGTTTATGATCCTGGTTCTAGTTACATAAGAACTGTTCGAGATACCTCGGCGAATGCTCAAGGCCAATGGGATGACCTATTTAACAACGTATTGATAGTAGAAGACGATATACCCCACCTTGCTGAACCATTTTTCATAATTGAAACGGTATGCATAATATGGTTCACCTTCGAGTTGATGGTTAGATTTGCTTCCTGTCCTCAAAAGGTCGCATTCTTTAAGAATATCATGAATTTTATTGATATTGTCGCGATTATTCCTTACTTCATTACTCTGGGTACCGTCATAGCCGATGATTCCAAACGTCAGAACCAAGCAATGTCACTGGCAATTCTTCGCGTTATTCGATTAGTTCGTGTTTTCCGAATCTTTAAGCTCTCCCGACATTCTAAGGGTCTGCAAATACTCGGCCAAACCCTCAAAGCCAGTATTCGGGAGTTAGGTCTCCTTGTATTTTTCCTTTTAATCTCGGTTATTCTTTTCTCTTCTGCCGTATATTTTGCTGAAGTGGATGCGGAAAAGACCTTCTTTCGATCCATACCCGATGCATTTTGGTGGGCTGTTGTAACAATGACAACAGTGGGCTATGGTGACATGCGACCTGTGACGGTAGGTGGGAAGTTGGTTGGTTCTCTGTGTGCCATTGCTGGTGTCTTGACCATTGCCCTCCCGGTGCCTGTTATTGTCTCCAACTTCAACTACTTTTATCATCGAGAAACGGAGACGGAGGAAAAGCCCAGCTTCACTACTGTTTCCTCCTGTCCACTCTGTAAAACACCCAGTATATGCAGTTCGAAATCTGGTGGTGGTTTACTTAATCTAACCAAAAGGCGTAGTCACGATGGAAGTGAGTACGAATCTTCTGGCTCACTTAAACGTGAACAAGCTACCGTCAGTGGGGACGAATCTCAACCTATTCGTGACTCAAACGAAAATTCCGTAGGCATTCCAATGCTAACAAATGTAGACGAAATTCCTGCATCTGCTATTTCTCCCGAACCTTATAGTATGGCCGAGGATGAGAAGGGTAAATTGAAGAGGCAGAGAAAGGAAGGAATGCTGATGCGACCAGGAATTCTAAATGCGCTAACTCAGCCTTTTAATAAACTTGGAATGGCTTCCGGAACCACAGCAGATCATCCAACAGAACTGACAAAGCTTTCAAGGCATAGTACAGCATCTTTACCCTCTTCTCCACAGGCCACTGTACTATCAAATACTATTCGACTTTCTTCCCTAAAGTCACACCAGGAAGAAGAAGTCTGATGGATGATCTGAATAACTCTCCAACATTGTAAAGCTTTTCACCTTTGAACTCCTTATCAGACCAGTTGTTCATACAGAAGCCTCTTCCCCCACTTATTCCCACTCCTGCTTCCATAGAAATCAAAATTTGTCTCCTATCTTATTGTGATGACTTCCTAGAAAACACGTAATCGTGCTGAAAATACCAGTGATAAGGGTAGATGTACGTGTATTATGTATTTTTGTAAATTCAAAGACAAATAAATATTCCGCATTCACTTGACTGGTTTCGTCAATTCTTCATTCCATCTGTACTCCAAGAACGAATTCCCTGTTGGTGGAGTTGGCGTGTCAACCAGAGATTTTATAGCAAAGAGCCATCGGAATGACATTGAAGGAATAGCGAGTACAGACTACTTTCTCAATTCTAACCGTGCAAAAGGCATGAGTAATATACATATATATATATATAAATCATTTTTTAATTGCACAACAACTATTGAGAGCTGACTCTTAGAGATATAGTATTATAGACGCGAATTTGAATGTTTGATTTTATATTTTATCCACATTTCAAAATCTATGGAGGCATCGGAAAGACCTTCATGTCTTTGAGAACACAGTGAGCCTGGAAACCCCCCTCCAC